AATGCAGTGTAACCACAAACATTTGATAACATTCCTTGATTGTTTAATGGTGATTAAACATTTATGCAACAGCACAATTCTGATCCAGTATGAAGACAGGTACGTGATGCTATCATATATAAAATTGGGATGCTTGTTAAGAACACACTTTTCAGTAAAATTTGGTCATGATATGAATGCAATTCATAAAAATGTGCAAACATAGATGGGCTGAATACGATTACATGAAACAAACTTTTTCCTTTCGCAATCTAGCAGTCTCTTACTAAGATCCCAGGAAAGGAAATGAGTAAAATGCACCATTTTCAAACTCAAATGAATTCACGACTTTTCTCTAAAAGAACAGCCTGATCTACCGCTGAAGAGCTTTGATCTAGCTTTCCTGGAAGCAAACGAGCCTGCCGTAATATCCCAGCCAGACCACAACAGCGAGGTGAGAAAGATGGGCAATGTAAGTGATCGAGTGGAGCAGGGACGAGATACCATGTTGGAGCCGTGGCTGTGACAACTTGGGTGGGTACTATTGCTCCAGCCATAGGAGGGCATTGCTGAATTGGGTGACTTCAACTTTTATATTGAATTGTTTTAAGGTTGGCTTCAGGGCAGTTTGATTGCCAGAAAAAGTAAGGGCAGAAACACAGCATTGTGGAAGAAGCAAATAGCTGTTGTGCATCACGTTAATGCTGAAAATTTACCAAAACTTTATTATACATAATTTAAAATACAGAAATGTAATAACTCAAAAAGCATCATAAATAATAAATTAATGCAGTTAATTCGGCAACACATTAAACGAACAGATTGAGGACGTTATCGGTTGCAAATCCCACAAAATTTCATCAAAACCTTCTAAATAGATCACAATCTTGGATAAACTGCTAAAAAGTGAACAAGGAACTGTTTTCTCAATTTTCAAATATTTTTAATTGAAGCAAACTATGGAAAAAATAAAAAGATCTGAAATAAAATCTTTAGTGTAGAAATTATTGCTAGTTTGTACCAAAAGGCAGTTAAAATACACGCTACTGACATTAAATTCGCAATGCTAAATATTTATCGACAGTTAATACAGTTATATAAAATAATACCTGACTAGAGGAACGCATAGTTATTCAACTATATTATTATTTGTATTTCCTACAAATCCTTCTAAAGACCATCTATACAATTCTCCTCATTTTTTTTATTACCATTATAAGTGTAATTACAGTAACTCTGACACATCTAATAAATAAGGAGGAAATCGGGCCATCATCTTTGATTACTTGAAAATGACTTGATGAAAAACAATTGAAGCTTATCTAAAGCCTACAGCACTGCTTCATTGAAATTAATTTGACTATTAATAAGCAAGTTGAAAGTTAATTTTACTTTTATTTAATTTGTTTATATATGTTTTTATAAGGTTTTCTGAAACGATGTGTTATTTATTATTCTATACCTAAAACTAGTCACATTTCCTGTGGATTTTGTAAAAATGTAATTAACTTTAAAAATGTAATGATGAATTGTTGTGACTTTTTTTTTTCACCGCCTCCTTCTTACAATTAAATAATAGAAGGATTTGAAAGGTAGCTAAAAGTCTGTTTTTCTAGAGGCAGCATGCAGTGCTTCTGTGGGGCACTGCATTTGGTGAGTATCAAAGACAATGCCGCAACAGAAGGTTAAAAAAGCATACAATTAACAACAGATAGAAAACTGGAAACTGCATGATTCACTAAACACTGGGTGAAAAATTTATTGCAATTGAGGCTTCTGTAAAAGTTCTTGTATGAAACAAAAATAACATGTAACAAAAATGAAAAACATAATTTTCGTTTGTTGTTGAGCTTTTTCAACAAAGTTTAGAAGTGTATAATTTTTTTTAATTATTATTTGTTTTTATAACGAGAGACTAAGAAGCAATTTTCTTAAAGGCCGAATCATTGGTTCCGTCTAACTATAAAACTTTGTAAAGTCAAGCTGTCTCTCTCAATGACAGTTCAAAGAGGCACAATTGTTTTCAAGCCATCATTATTTTCTGGCAATGTTGTCTTGCTAAATCATGAATTTGCTTCTTTCCTCCCACAAGAATATTCTATTTTACCTCTGCTAGCAGGTATGAATTTTAACTGTTTTAGTGGAAAAATGTCAAACATTGTGGCCTCTAGTCCGTAATTTAAGCCACCCATACAAATCATGTTATGCTAAGTAAATTAACAAAAGAATAAAACAAGAACAACTAGAGAATTTAGAAAGGAAATGAGCAATATTAGAGGAAATGAAACAACTTTTTAAAATAATGGTCAGAGTACTAAAGGTAGTTATTAAATTACAGTGGTTGTGTATATATAATTGGATTTTGATAGCACAAACTGCTTTAGAATAGAAAAATAAAACATTAAGATTAAACTCTGATTTTCAAGGCAGTTTCCACAAGGAACCGAACAAGGGCCTGTAGCACTGTAGTACATCTTACATCATATGCACTTCAAAACATGATTTATATCTATTTTCAATTAAAATTGAAAGTAATTATGTTTCATGTGAGAGATGCCAATTGAGACCCCTAAGCAACATAAACTAAATTGCAACATGCCACAATGGAGACCATGCAACATCAAACTAAAATTGGTCAAGACAGAGAAGAGGTAGTTTTGTTCTTTCCATTGAATGAACTGTCCGTATTCAAAGCTACCAAAATTATTGTGGCATGTATGTGAATCAATAAAGAAGAGAGAGAAAACAGCCATATCTTAAGTAGCAAAAGCTCTGAGTTATTTTTTTTCCAGTTTCATTCTCTTAAGTTCAAATAAATTATTTAAAAATTAAATGTTCAAAAAGTTACTATGTTTTACTAAAATTAAAATGTATAATCAATTTTCATTCCAATTTAGTTTTACATTAGATGAGTAATAAGAAAACAAGTAGTATAATGAGTTTTCATGTAAACAATCAATCTTATTTATGGTTTGAAGAAGAGAAGCGCATTTCAACTTAAGGGAAGTCATTTAAACAGGCACTTCGAGTCGCTCTGGGCGAGAGAGAAAATTCACAGTGGAGGAGACAAGGGTAGTAAGAGAGTTTTGTTTAAAGGAATCTTGCCAGTGGGTGGACAATGTATATAAACAACATAGTTATAAAAGCAAGACAATGGAAAGTTTCATGGCGAGTAACTGCCATGCAAGCATAGCGTCACTTTCCTTTCCTCTTCTTCTGCTTAGGAGTGTACTTTTGTTTTCTGTTCTTTAACCATTTTTTTATAATGCTTACTTACAGAGCCCAGAAAAAGTATTTGTTTTAATACATTCTTACCTTTATGGCATCCCTTACATTCATACCAATGTCATTTTAATAAATAAGTGTAGTATAACATAACAATTATTTTTCGCCTCATTGCAAAGAAGTTGAAAAACATTTAGAGTTTTCATATTCATATTTCACTTTAGTAACTACAAAGAACATGCAAGACTTAATCATTTAATAATTTGTTGTTGAAATATTAGAAATGAAGACTAATCATGTTGCTAATTTCAAATATTACACAATCTGGAATCCAAGTGCCAGACGAGCTGATTCACATATTGCTTATCTGATAGTAAAATGAAAGGTAACTTTAATTCGTAATTATGAAAGGTAATTTGGTTACAGAAGCTTATAAATGTCATTTAGAAAAGAATATTCTTGCAATTGTCAATTTACATGGTTGTAGTTAGCAACTATTTCTAGTCTTGCCTACATCTACATCTATCTGGCATGCGCTACTGGATATATTGAACTTCTTGATTTTTGTTACTCAAGTGTTTTTGAATTTGTTCAGTCTCAGTTTGAAAAACTGGAAACTGGTCTCAATGTAGTCGGATCTTTTGGGGCTAAAAATGCAGAACTTATAGGTTTATGAATTCAACTAGAAGTGACATTTATGAACTGTATTTGTATATAAATGTCGTGGTGAAAGAATATTTGGTACATTTTTTTAACAATATCATCCTCTTGTTGCGGTGTATTATCTGTATTGTATATTGTCTGGGTGTATTTTTTTGTGTGCGAAATCTTGAAATTTAATCCACATGTCTATTAGATAAATAAAGTAAAAGGATTATCTTGTTGGCATGTAACGAATATCAATTGGAGTGAAGATGTTGAATCAAGGTCTTGGTTTAATTATCGTTCACAAATCAGACGATTATGACGAAATGGAAGTGATTGCCTGCAAAAACCTTGATACCCCTTTCTCGAAGCGTCAAATCAGTTTTAGGAAAATTAATTTAGTGGTATTAATAAGTAAATGAAGGGAGCTTAACTAAGAATAGGTAGTATTAACAGAGCAATTGCATAAGTGATATATTGTGAAGTGAGGTGTGTGTATGGCAGTGTAGAGCAGAGAAATAACAAAGGAAGTGATTTAAGCGGTCATAGTGAAGTGACGTTGCAGTGCAATGCCAAAGCAGTGTTGTCTTAATTGTACACAAAAACATTTGGAATTAGATTAATAATAACAGAGTTTCTTTTTCTTAAAGTAATTTTTAATGTTTTAAGAGTCAGTTTTTGAAATATATTATTATTTTTATCATATTGTTAATCTTATAGTTTGTTATTATTGGTCACTTATTATTTTGTACCATCATTTTTACTATTATCATTATATAATTATGCATTGTTAGGGTTTATATTGACGCTTTAATTTATAGTAATTAGCTGGCACCTTGGGTTACACCGCAATTGCAGTTTAAATAAAATTTATATTTATCTTATTAATTTTAAATGTAATGGCGAGGGAGTCCAAAGCATTTGAGATAAACCGCATTTTGATTTTATGACTTAGAATATGAACCATGCCATGAGCAGTGTAAACCATGGTGGCCAACTGGGACATAACAAGATTTAAATATACGATTTCTTTCTATTAATATCAAATTTTCTATAACATAAGAACTCAAGCCTAATTATTAATTGAAAAAGATTTAGTTGAAGTTTTAGAACAGGTTAGTTTTATTGTTAGTTTTTATGAAATAGCTTACTGCTATTTTCATCAAAGGAACTTGAGCTTGATGGATACATCTGACGCCTCATTTTTTCAAAGTCTGTCTTGGTGAAGTTCATAAATGATGCTGGGCTTCGTTCTAATCGTGCAGTAATTTGCTTTCGGTCCTTAGGAGCCTGGGCAAGAAGCTCAAGATCAGTTTCGGTAAGCATAATATTCGTATCCTGAAAATTTCAATTTTTTAGTGTAAATAATATTGCACATCATGAAAATTTCCGCCCTAGTACATGAATTTTCAGTAATTTCTTTCCAAAATCTTATTCTTAATGCAAATATCTAGATTTACATTTCAGATAATATCATAGATACTATTACAACTTTAAGGGAAGGTAATAACAACTATATAAGGTATGAATACAGTGTTACACTGAATTTCAAATACACTCAACAGAGCAATTAAAATAGAAATGAAATACACTGCAGGTTATGAGAAGCAATTAGTGCCCGGATTTAGGGGACTCTACAGAATACAACACTATAATACTCAATTGATAAAACTCAATGGTTCACTATTTTGTATGATATGGTAATTTATTAACAAATTGGGAGTACACGCAATGAATATATCAATGTCAATTTTGTCATATACCCTAGGTTTAAAATTCGCTTTTTGCCATACTAAGTGAATTTATGACCTATTATGTACATATAGATTACGCAAAGAGAAAAAATTATTAATTTAAATTTGTAAGAGCGGCTAAAATTGTATGCGCTATTACGATTTACCTTAGGCAGTTTCATATTGTCCTGACAGTAGCAAGGTATCTTCAATTGTTTTTGTTAGCATAAAAGTATTAACTGATGACAACAAAGAAGTTCAAATGAGCTCGCCCAACGAGATGTTCTACCATTCTTAGTAAGGAGTTTCCTCTGAGTTTCAGCATTAATATACCAAAATACTTCTTGTATTCTGGGATTTCTGTGCGCAAGTCTGGAAAAATGCGCTTCTCCTAAAGCATGCTGAAAAAATATTCCAGAACATGAAGAGAATTCCAAAATTTTTAAACACCAGCACTTGTAGATTCTAACAATACAAAATCAAAGTAAATAATTGTGTCCTATACCTGAGTCTCGAGCAATCGTGAATAGAAATCGGCTGGGGCCAAGGATCTTGAAAGGCGAAGCAAATGCATTTGAGTAGCTTCCTCTGATGTATTCCCTGCAGTTGGTTCAATCTGAGCTTCACTAAGTTCTGCAAACAGAATAGGAAATACACTGCGCATTTGAACTTCATCTAATTGTAAATAATATATTTTGCAGCAAATATTTAATACAAAATATTGTATATCTTACAATTATACAAGTAATACAATTTATCAAACATGTGCTATGGTTAAATTACTAACGGCTGTGTCTACTGGGTCTCTAGGAATGTTTATTTCCAGTTTTTCATACCATGAGCTGCTTAGTGCATTTATATGTAGAAATGCTTCGCAGTTTTTTAATTGTTTCAATTATTTGACTGTTGTGATTTTAATTATTTGAGGATCACCATTTTGAGTTGGGCTTACTGGAGTAGAGGGCATGGTCGATGGAGCTATAACCAAAAATAATGTTTATCTTTAACGGCGTTCATACCAATCAAAATGAAAATAAAAATACAATAAAATTGGAGGAAGGGTGCATCAAAGCGTACAACATCAAAATTAAATCAGAATCATCCATTCAGTAGAGTTTTGGTTCTGTTTGATGGTTTCTATTTAAGCAGAAATCAGGAATAATAAGTTGCCATAGAATTTAGGAAAAGCTCAGCATTTGCTATGGCAAAAAGTCTATTGGAATGATGTGTCCCACTGAGAATGTTTCGTTTTCAATAAAGGTTTTAAGTTTACTCCGGTAATCTGTGATGGTATAATGCACTCTGTCCTCAAATGAAACATTTCTCACCTGTTTGTAGTTGAATCACATGGCAAAGAAGGTTGGGATGAAGGCACAAAACCATGTGTTGAGGGGTGGGGATGGTGCAAGTACCAGAAATGAACAGCAATTTAATTACTGGCTGCATTCATCATTGGGTGTTAGTCTTTGTCAGCATGCATCATGAATATTCCTTTCTACAGCAGGGCTTTCGCCGCACCTGACTGTTGCCACAACAGCTTGTGCCATGGTATAAGAAACTATCTTATTTCTGTAAGCAGTATTGGTGCATTGGGTATAAAAATTGAACAAACATTATGAAACATAACCTTCTTCATACTTTCTACTATTGAATGAACACGATGTCTCGATTCAAGACAAAATTTCTCTTTTCCAGAAGAACACAACGAACCACTTCTGACTTCAATCAGAGAAGAGTAAATCTGACGAGCCTAACCTAACATAGATCAACGTCGGAAACGTCACAACACTGCTTCACTAATTCTTCACTTCTCAACTTACTTGATAACTGCAATTTAAATTAGCACATTCGCAATCTTCCAGCTAATGATATTTGCAAAGATCTACACACGCGTTTAATGGTTACTTTCGAGTCAATGAAACAACATTAAACCTATATCCGTGCACCAACAAAACCAGCGGTGACGTCCCATGCACGCAATTTCGAGTAATAATTCTGTCCCATAGATAGATTCAGGCACGTGCACAGGTCAATTTGACATTTCCGCCGCCTGCCTAGGGGCGAGAAGAGGGATATTTGAAAAATAGGGAAACTGACAAAATCAAAGCATTAAACAGGTAAGTTTAACGCTCACGAGACCTAACACTTGTGAGATACTGACAACCATAGGCAATTATATTTTGTTCACAATATAGCCGTAACTTTTTATTCAAGCTAGTCTTTAAATTATATTCGGAAAGCCAATACAATAGTATTGTAAACCATACTTTCTCAATTCTATTCAAAATTTAATAATAAAAATATAATGATTTATGAACTATATAAACTATCTTAATATATTGTAATATACTTTTCTAGAGCAATAATCTTTACACGCTCCCAGTTTTAGTCCAGTCTTTCCCTGGTCCTTTTGAGCAAATGTGTGAGATCGGCTCCTGGTTGTCGTTTTCTTTGGATACATTCAATATATGACTTGGCATATGGAAGTGACTCGCGAATTGGGCAATAGTATAAGTGACTCAATAAATATTATTATTATTATTATTATCATTATTATTATTTATTATTAATATTATTATTATTTTATTATTCCTACTAATTCAACGACTATAAGAATGTTCATGAAGTCGGTTGATTATAAAGTCTAACTTCAGGTTGCAATCCAAGCTTTTTAAGGAGCAGATTCTAGGGAACTATGCGGTCCTCTTCAATGGTTTTTGTGTGAAAGGTAGGCTGTTTCCAATCACGAGAATGTCCTTTCACTTCCTACCTGGAGCATATAGCCAAGTTCCTTAACACACAATTTTTTCGGGTAATCTTCAGTTTCCAAACTCTTGTATTTAGGACTTGTCCTTTGCCACTCAGTTAGCGTTTTGGAATCGCCGCAAAGCAACATTCTACAAGAAGATTGAGTTTTTTACCTCACCAAATTACGGATAACAATATCCGATTTTAGTTTGCCGTTATCAAATGCGTCAGCTTTGAATTTGTAGCTCGCACAAATTATACACAGTAGCCAAGCATGTGTCACAAGGTGATGGTGGAGTGGTTTCGTAGCCACTAAGACCAATGTGTTCTTGGCACACATCGAGGGCGATACAGATTTGCCAGTAGAACTACTGTCAGACTAATATTTCACCAACGTTGAGGCGACTTGGCCGACACGATGCGCTGGGCACCCATTGTAATCAACCGCGATACGTAATTCATGGGGGTGGTTGCAATTGTGTGAGTCCGACATTCCGCTGCATAAAGGCGACGTTTTGGCGACTGCCAGACTCGCGCAACGGAACCAACAATACGTTGCTCCCGGGTCGCTTTGCAAGCCGACTGGCCGCTTCCCTTGAGGCATTACACGCGGTGGCCTGAGCTCTGGCGCCGCACGGCGCCTTAGACGAACTCCCCCCGCCCCCGCCGTGACCGGACTAATTAACATTAATTAGTCAAATTGAACTAAAATACAAAAGATAACTGTAAACGAGAGGACCACAGTGCGGTGAAAGGAGACATTTGTTTATTTGTTTTTTCTTCTTTCTTTTAATACAACGTATTCCCGCCATTCTCAACGCGGTTTGACTTCATAATTCCAGTCAATTTGTATTATTAGTATTTTAAGTAGATCACACACTGTACTCCTTCAACAACAGTGCACTCACTCCTGAAGAAGCTCAACAGCCGGCCACGGATAACAGGTAAGGCATTTTGCTTGGCCCCTTTCAAATAAATTCCAGCGCATGCAACCCCGTTATCCCAAAAGCAACTTAGCACTTTCCAGTGGAATGGTCATCGCTCCCACATTTTATGGTATCATCCTTGGTCACCTGCAAAATCTTGTACGAAGCGGCATGGTTTCACCACTATATAATATCCAACACGTGTAAAGTCGCCGTAGCACAGGGCTTGTCAAGGTCGTACAGAAACGAGATGAGTTTGTTAATTGCTCTGTAGACAAAGTCGAAAACATTTTCCATCCGCATCCACTGGCTAAAATACAACGGAGAATCCAGGGTTTTCCCATTCGTAACTAAACAAAGCTAAGGACAGAACGTGTGGTTATTTTTTTCGATACATTTTAGATGTTCTTAATAATTTCTCTTGTTCTCGTTCTTATCTTTCCAGCACTTTTAACATTCTTAATTTTTCTCTCTACCCGAGGTTGAAACAGCAAAATCGTTCTTCTCTGAAGTGTGGCGCCAAATACTAGGGTTTTTGTTTGTGTTTGTCGAGCTAGCAGCTGTAGGTCTCCTGACAGAATCCCTATTCTTTTTCCGTTTGTCCTGGATATCACTTTCTAGTATCGTTTCTACTTGGTGCCCTCGTTTTGAACTGTGGTGGTGGGGTATATAATGTTGGCGCTTGTCTTAATAATAATAATAATAATAATAATAATAATACATCAAATACATAATAAATAATAATAATATAATAATAATCAACATGACACGAAAGCTACTGAAGACCTCTCCACGGTGACTAATTAAAATACTGCAACTAGGCATTGATCAAATGCAAAATACAACAAATAAGAGGGTAAACTCACTAGTGAGCTCACACACGAGGACTGTTGATCTGAGAAACAAACATTGGCTCTGGAAGCTGATCGAGCTCTACAAATACGCTTGGGCCATTCAGCCATAGGAATATGAATCTGCACATCCATCAACTGAAGGAGATACTTAAAACACGAGCTTACCAAACGCGACTCAAGTCAGCTGTTAAAAACTTCCCTCAACTCCCGAACCTCACGCTTGCCATTTAACTCGTCATGCTATATTCCATTATACCTTCTCGATGGGTAATTCTTAAATGATCACAACGCGACCTAGAGGAAATCTGGAGAGACTTGTAACGACGTTCAAACCATGACCACGCTTCGGCTGTCAACCATCCTAAAAGTGGCGATACAGAGAGTCACACTGCCTCGAGCCAAATGGCGAGGGCGTGGGATTCGTGAAACTTCAGCGAATCTGCCATGCCAAACAGATAATAGCCATCGAGGAAGTATTTTTGCAGAAAAGGCCAGGCCCACCTTCTCTACTCCACAAGGTAGCTTGTGGCAGCGCCAGTAATGACAACTTACACGCCCCTCAATCCTAACAGCAAGATACTGCCAAGTTCATCAGGTCCTCCTGCAGGCAAAGAGATCGATTCTGGAAACAGAAAGCACCTCCACGGTGCATATCCTGCTGCAGTAGCCAATCCAAAGCCAATTTCCAAAACCAAGAAAATTGTACAAATGGCTCAGTATAGGATATTCTGCTACCCGAGAGCAAAATGTTTCCATGAATAGCAATACACAGATCAAGTGATTCCACAAAGAATTACATAAAACTATATCATCAAAAGCCCAGGAGTCACTATACTGATGAATGTCGCATGTGTGGTCGAATCATGAAACCATTCAGCATTCAGCGCTGTAGCCTGTCTAGCTCCGCACTGATGACTATAAAGTGAGACACCGATGCACGTGAAGCGCACATCATCCATTCCAAACTAGCTAAAACACAGGCTACTCCAAAGTGATGCCACCATACTACCCCAGTTTTCATCCAGAAGCCGGTTCTAGAATGAGGACACATATGTTTATCTCGGGACCGCAGTTATCTCTGACAAACAGAACAGATTCAAGCAGCAACTTACCTGGGATATTACTCTTTGGACAATCTGCAAATTAAGTTCGGTTTATTGATGTTGCAGTCGTCAAATACCAGCAATATGATGACAACTCCAGACTAAAATCGGACAAATACCAGACGAACTAGTATTTGCCATAAAAGACCACAATTGCGAGTAGTGAAACTAATCCCAAATTGTTAACTATCAGCAGCTGTCGCGATCCAAAACTCTCTGCAGATCGCTGGAAAGAATTCTGCTTGGAGAAGCAGCATTATCATCGGCCTCAGAATGTCGGTTATGGAATCAAGTAACCCTGCTCACTAGTCAGAGAGATTCATGGACGGCATGGGAGGCGAAAGCGGAGGATTCAAATGTTGGGCTTTTTGAAAGCTCACTCTTGAAATTGTATTTGTTATTCAGCATTTGGAAAACTGTTATTTTATTTTACAATCTGAAAACAGTTATTTTATGTTATGTGTTAGAATGCCCTACATTTGTTGTTGTAGATTTTCACAATATGTTCTGTGTTACCATGCTTTTGATATTGCTATCTTGTGTGGTATCCGCATGGTGAAACGCAAAAACTTTCGAGAAAAATCACAATAATAAATAATAATAATTATAAATAATCAATGATAATAATAATAATAATAATATAATACATAAATAATAATAATAATAATAATAATAATAATAATATATAATAATCATAATAATAATAATAATAATAATAATAATAATAATAATAATAATAATATTCTGTTCTCTGTAGATGTCATTATGTTTTTCCATGATTGGTTTGAGAAATCCTCTAAATCAAATGTCGTTAGAATGGTGGGCGATTTTCGTGTTAGTATATTGGGTTTTGGTTTTTTGGCGCGTGAGGGCCTTTTTCAATTAACGACATCTGCACGGCATGGAATGGCTTTAT